GTGTCATACCTCCCACAAAACAAAAATGGTTTTCTTTTTTTCCTGACTTTTAAAAATGATCTTTTCAACTACACTTGGTATATCTTGAGGGGAACAAGATCATTTTACTGAGTGACAACTGGAGTAGATGGTTGATGTACAATATGGTGGGATACATTTTTTCCTTTCCTCCTAGTGTTACTTCCCTGACTCAATCTATGTCAGAATGTGAAAAATTGGGAAAAAGTCCCCAAAACAAGCACATATGGTTGTTGTATACTTCTCCGACATCAAATTTTATTACTGTCCTCCCTAAGCTGATCATCTCAAACATTTTCTATTTCATACCCTTATCACTTAAAAAAAAGCATGTACCTCCAATAAATGTATATATATTTCAATTATATACATGTACAGTATCAGTATAACATATATTACAAAATATATTTACCAAATAGAAATCTTTACAGGGTGAGAAGAACAAATGAATGTAATGGGAATTCTCATATTTTCTTTGAGTACCCCAATCATTGTTTTGTGCACCCCTCCCTCAACTCCCACTGCTTATAACTGCAGTTTCATCGTATAACCTGACTCAATTCTTTCATGTTATTGTGCCTTTATTTTACTATGATTCCCTCTAGAGAATTGCCTTGGATAGTCAGCCACCCATCTGGCCATTGTCCTTCCTTCTTGCCATTCCCTACTTCTCCTACCCCTGCATCCAACTCTATCAAGCTATTTCCTTCCTATTTGGTAAAACTCAGCTCAACTGCTACCAACACTTAAAAGTTTTCCTTGATCCCATTCCCTACCACTCAGATGGGACAGGGGCCCCATACTTTAAAAAAAAAATCTACCTATCTATAACAATGGAATGATGTGAAAGCTGACATTGGTAGTGGTAATTTAGAAATAATGGCAACCCTGAGGACATTTTCTACTGTGTATCAAAGGACCCTGACAGAGACAGTAAAAAGAATGATCCTCAGGAGATCACGACTTACAAGGAGAAGAATTTGGCCTTTTGAAGAAAGTTAGCCAAGTAAGATTGCCAAAGATGTGGTATAGCTGTATATTCTTTGATCTTCCTTTATAACGAAGATGCAAATGATCAATAAACAAGTTACTTTCTGCCACTGCTGCTCTCTCCTTTCCAAATGAGACCCTCATTGTTTATCTCACCTTCTGGAAGAGCTTTTTAAACAGTCTCATCACCTCCAGACTTGGATCCCTCCAATCTACCTTACATAATGTTTCAAAATCCTGAATCATTCCCTACTACCTATATAAAATCTAACTTCCTTAGATGTGACATTCAAAGCTCTCTCTATGATCTGGCCCCAACCTACCATGTTAGCCTTCTCCACCACTGCTTAGATAATCTGAACTTCAACCAAAAACATTTAACTAACCCTACAGGGGTGGGGAACCTGTGGCCTTCTAGATCCAGATTTGTTCTATAAAATTTGGATTCAGTCAAAAGGCTGCACTTATCTAGACGGCCACAGATTACCCACCCCTGCTCCAAAACACAGCCTGCACTGCATCTTTCTGCCATTTTGCAAAGATGTTTCCTTCACCCCTTCAGCCCTCCCATGTACTCTGTCTGCTGGAATCCCACCCATATTTCAAGGCATAGGCCCACCACCACCTTCTGTTGGATGTATCCCCAGATCCTCACAGCTGAAATGCAATCTTGAATTGCATCACTCCTCACAGTTTAGACAACATAATACATTTCATCTGATTTTATCCTCATAGCAGCTCTCTGAGATATCTTTATGCTCCTTTTACAAACTCAGCCCAATTGCCCTACCAGGATCGCTGCAGCCAACGACAGAAGCAGGGATTCAAATGCAGATCTTGAGGCCCCAAATACCCTATGCATACATCATACTACTGAAGCTACCTATGAAAACCTCTACCTCCTCTGTGCTTCCAGGGTGCTTTATAATTCAAGAGCACGTTAATCCCAGGTCCATCATATGTTACAGCTGGTACACATTTGGTGAAGTAAGGGGACCTCATCTTATTTATCACATTATCCCTCAAAGTACCTACCATGTTCTTTACATATAGTGTTGTGAACTAAAATAAAATCTTAAGCCAGCCCCCCACCAGCTGACTGAATTGACTCCTGTGGGCCAAGGGGATACCCTAAAACTGACTCCCTTCTCGGAGACACCCTTTGTAACTCAACAACAGGCCTAAGGCTATGCAAGACAAACTTGCAGGTCCTCAATTTACAC